TTTTTTTTTTTTTTAATACAGAGGCACTCCATCAGTTATGTCCAAAAACTATGGTGCAGCAGGAACAACTTCTCGTCGTGGCCAAGCTTATCTATTGGTACAAAGAGCTGGTAACATGAAAGGCTCCTCTCCTCGGCCAAGTGTCAAGGGAGCTGCTGCCAATGAACATGCAACTGTAACTTTAGAAGACATCAAGAGTGTTGCTTTAGATTCCATGCCAGATGTTGATGAGATGCCCTCAGCATTTCAAGAATGTTACAGGTACATACATGTACAATAATTGTATAGTTATCAATGGTAAGTGCTATCTCATTTGGTTGGCTTGCTGAAACCCTTACCATTATTCAACGGTCATCCCAACTGGTTTATACTGGCAAATGGTAAGTATCCTTGCTCTATCCTTCCTTCACTCCTTTGCTTCCTGTTAGACTTTTTGTGATTGAATTCACTGACCAGTGTAAAAGGTTTTCACAGTCTTAGCGAAGATTCAACGTGGACAAGAAACGATTTCCTCACTGAGTGAGTAGAAAGTAAGAAAGGGCTAATGCAACAGAGAAACGAAAAAAGGAAAACTTGTGTTTGATTAGTTCTCTGAGTTTTATGGAACAGAACGTCTGAACAATACTTTTGAAAGCTGAGTAAGTAATGCAAATTGCATTATAAGTGTAATAATAATAATGCATAACATAACGCATGTAGCATGACGAATGTCACGTTTTGTTGATAGGGAATCTTAATTGGTACAAAAAGCAGTTTAACTTCTTGTTTTGAATGACGTGGAGGTGAAACAATTTCCTGAGCGTTTGAGGCAATCCAATTTCCAAGCTGAGTGGCTCACAGCCACTTTAATTATTCACACTGAGCTCAATCTGTGTTATTATTTTCTAATGATTTACCTGAAGCATATTAGCTTTCCATAAACCAACCCAGTTACCCTTCACAAAGCATCTCACCTGTACATATTTCCTGTTTCCTGGATCAGATCCTTCAGTATTGACAGCAATTGACTTCTCAACTAATGACTATTTCTTTTTCGCTTGTCACTTCTTTTTTACCCTTTTCTAACGCCTTTATATAACTTTCAGCATTAATTGCTGAGGTGGTTGGTAAAAAAAGTCAAGAAACCTAGAGTAAGAAAATTGAATCCAAATTTTTAATGTGAGCACTAATGAAGGGGTGCAAAACAGCAGTAAACAGGCCCAAAAGAACTTAATTACTAGTTACAACTAATAAAACACTTTTTTCTATCAGCTCTGAGCAATTTGATGAGTTTCTACTGGCCATTTTGAATTACTTTGATGCATTCTTTGAGAGGATGGCTATCGAAAACAAGCCAAAACCAATGGCAGTGTAAGTTACACTATCAGGCATTTATCTTCAGGGAGATTAAGCTACAGTACTCATTTGATCACAATAACGACTGAAACTTGGAGCAACTGATTTATTGAATTGAACACCGAAAGTCATTTGTTTCAGTGTTTTATTCTACCATTGTGGACAAACATATCATGGCATTTCAGCCAATCAAACGCTTTCTAACAATCAACCGTACCTCCTCCAATCAATGTCAAAACACGCTTTGTTGACATTAAGACATTGGGAAGGGGAGAGGGGGATGGAATATGAGGAGCGGAAATTGGACATGGCTGATCTTTTGTTCTGCTTTGTTTATTTTTTTTGTTTTACTTTAACAGTGAGCCAAGCCTGGCTGAGAGAAAGGCTCTAGCAACAGCTGTCGGTAAACAGGAGGCAGCACAAAGGCTTCTGGGACAGTGCTACTGTACGCTTGTGCTGGGCCTGGGACTTGAAGATAAACACCACATGGGGTGTGGCCGGTGAGACACTGTGTATGCCCCACTATGCAAATATGCAATATTTATGGACCTATAATAATGTATACAGTGTAATCTTAATTTAAATCAGTGGTATGGATTTGCAATAAACCGTATTTGGAAAATGGTTGAAACATCATCACTTTGAATTTTCTTCGGGTGTCTTCGAAAATGTCCAGAAAACATGGACTTCCCAAAAGTCCTTTCCAATAATTCTTGCCTGGGTTACGTGGCTCGGGCTCGTTGAATAAGCAAACGTCGTCTAATGGCAAGCCTAAGAAAACTAGAAACGTTTGAGAGAGTATTGGAATAACTTTTATAGAGTCTTTTCGACGTTGATAAGAATCGAAATCGAAAGCACTGCATAACTGGTTTATAATTCCAGTTCGTACACACTTCAAGCTTCGAATATTACATGTAAAAATTGTCCATGCATAAACCTTGATTGTGGAGTTGATTAGGGGTCATTCAATGTGGAAGGTCTAACATTATTATGCTGCACAGGCAATGTTTACTTGTTCATGGCTTGCTTTTAGGCAACGCAGCTCAGACACAAGTAGGGACAGAGAGCTGTATGAGGTACGTTCAGTTGTACTTGTAGGTAAAAAAAAAGTCTGGATACGAGCAAAGCGGAGCTTATCCGGTTTCTGTAGCATGAGGCGACTAGGAGTATTTCTACTCCCCCCTGGATGGGATGCTAGTCCATCACAGTGTTACCCCCAGCATTAAATTCGCCGTTACCCATTTATACACCTGGATGGAGAGAGGCACTGTTAGAGTAAAGTGTCTTGCCCAAGAACACGACGCAATGCTCAAACCCGGACAGCTCAATCCGGAGACGAGCGCACTAACCATGAGGCCACCGCGCTTCCACAGACACGATCAGTTGTGCTTAGAACATGATCTATATATTGCAAGTGAATATATGAAAGATCAATATTTGAACTGCAGAGAAAGATGTAAAGACAAGAATGATCATCGCAGTTATGTGTGAAATTAAAGCCTGAATTATTCTATATTCCTGTCTAATGGCACTTTACAGTTACATCAGTCATTAAAACAATGACGATGACTGAAGGTAACAATGTTATCCATACCAGTCTCTTAAATTTAAATGAGTTACCACTTTGCAACGTTTACCAAAAACACCAAACATTATCAGAAAAGCATCACCTGTAATTCATTTATTTTCAAGTACTGTAGCCTGCGAAGCAAACGCACCCGTGCGAATGGAGAGCTCTTCCGATTCAGGCCATGCGAAAATTGGGGCGGGAGCAAAAATACTCGTCAAAACGGGGACTGGAGGAGCGAGCGAGGGAACCTTCGTCGCTCGCCCCACCTCTCGCTCCAATTTTCACGCGATCAGACTTTGCTCGTTCGCCTTCGCCTACAGCAACGTTTGCTATGCAGGCTACACGTGTTGCCATCTGTATTTCAGCAAACTTGACCACACAACAGCGGACGATTGGTAAGCACTTTGGTATAAAATCTATGGTCATGAAATTGTTTTCTGTAGAAAGAAACAAATAAAATTTAAATGATAATTTGGCTGCTTTTCAGTTGATCAGTTTTGTTAAGGTCAGTGGAAAGAGTTTTCTGGTGTGGTCTTTAGTCAAGGATGAGTCAGGAATTTGCTGGGTTTTTGTTTGTGAGCGGCATTTATGCTTGCGTTGCCACGCCACTGGTCTCGTAGTTGACCGAGCAAAGAGATTAGATAGTTTTTGAATCGTTTGTGTTTCTTTTTCCAAAGGCTCTTTATCCATTTTCTGCATATGTGACCTACATTGCGTTCAGACGGCAACACCTGGATCTAATACAAAAGGAACTAGGAAGGTGGGTCAATATTTTAATGAGCCGTTTCTGAGTTGTCTTTTCTGTCCATGTCAAAAAGAACCTTCGCGCGAAAATGGGTTTTACTTACAGGTTCATTTTCACGCAAAGTACTCGTTCAATATTGAACGAAATAAAAACGATTTCTGACTCCCTTTTGCCTAAGTGATAATTTTTTGATCTTTTTCCACAGTTTTAAGTAATTATTTAGACAAATCATTTAACACATTAAGACCAGTTCGTATATCACAAAATTTGCTAAACTTCTGTGACTTAGGCCCTCATCCTCAATCTTTAAATTCAAGATCTTGTTCTTCTGTTTATTTTTTAAGGTGTCCATTCTCTTGCTTACTGATTTTTCCTTCTCAGATTGTTTCGCTCGGACACTTTTAACCCTGCAGGGAGGCCACAGGCAGTTAAAGGTACTCATAACTCATACAGTTATGGAAATCTTTTCCAAGCTTCCTGCGTAGACGTTGAAACTTTAACTTTTTGGGCTAAAAAGATTGCGTGACGAACCCAAAAACGCTAGAGTTCTCCCATTCTTGTACTCAAGGCCACCTGTCCCTCTTAGCCAGCGGGGCCTTGGCACGAGATGAGGCCCATTCATCGTGCCAAGGTCCTGCCGACTAAGAGAAAGAGATAGATCTGGGAACGAGAATGGAGTTCTCCCCAAAGGATTCGCTAGGCTTCTACTTCGTTCATATGTGTCGAACCCCCCGATCTCTACCAAGATTAGATATGTTTACCATTCGACCAGTGAAGGCGATGTTTGCTTTCAAAGTGATGTCCTCAAACAATCCATAGAGAGCTTAAGCAAATCACGACGACGACGGCAACGAGAACGCCACCAAACAAAAGGTTTAACGTGCATAACAATAGCTGTGCACGTGCGTTATAAATCTTTGTACATTTCTTTGCCGTCCTCTGAAAAACAAGAACGTGAAATTATCAAGTTCTGCGTAGTCTGAGGAACGTAAACGACGACGGCTAATTTTTCGTATTTCCATTTGGTATTGAACGCTGTCATTGCATATTTAGCCTCAGCACGGTTTTAGAGCCATTCGTGCACTGAACAGATCTAGACAGTTACGAATTTCGCTGATAAGATATAAATTCATTTTTGAGTAGGCGTCGTCCTCGGCGTCGCCGTCGTCGTTGATTAAACTTCTCGTATCTTTTTATTCTTTCAGAGGTGTATGCAATAGATCGTCTTAAGGACAGCACCAAGCAGCCGCTGACGCCCGCGGAATATCGCAGGCTCAAACCGTGAGTATTGCCATTCGTACTCTCGTTCTCATCAATAAAGAACCCACACTGTCATTTATTAGTAATCTTTTCACTGATTGCTTTACAGAAAAAGACCACCCATTAAGTCTATTATCAAGTAAGTACTCACATTTCCTTGTATAAGACGAAGTGCATGTCAAACTGAATCCAAGTCGCTCGTGGTTTTGTCAAACGTGTGACGGGACTTCCACATAAAAAGGTCGGGGGTGCTCGTCATACCTTTTAGGGGTTAAAAAAACAGTTTTGGTATCTCTTAGGGTGTTCAGCCTCAAAAAATCCTCAGTGGGAGCTTTTGTGGTACTTTTTAGGGTATTGAGTCGAAAATAATATTACAGGAGATATTTCACCATCATCAGGAGGTATTCGAAGAAATCGTATAGTACCACTTAGGGGTGAAAAAATGTCAAGTCACGCCCACAAAACAGGTTGTTGGTACCTTGTAGGGGTTCTTTTTTGAAATTCCGACGAGTACCCCCATCCTCTTTATATGGGAATTCCCCCCCCCCCCGGGGGTGAAACAAAGCAGCACATATTTGACTTGTGTTTATCAATAACTGCCGTATGCACGCTCGCATTACGCATAGGAAACAAGCTTTGTTCTAACCGGATGAAAACTTTTTTTTCAGTCAGCGTTCGCCAGTACTTGTGTCTTTGTTACCGACCTCACAAGAAGCAAGTCCGTGGTTTCTTGATCGCACAAAAGCTCTTCCTTTATCAGAAAGGTAAGACTTGGTTTGTTGTATCCTGAAACGACAGCCGTCAACTCATCCCTAGACCAGAGACAGCTGACGTTTCAGGTCCTGTAATGATTGGTTCTCCTGTAGCGTGCCCTAACCAATCAGAACAACGCTACTGTCTCGGTCGATCAGGTTTGTAAAACCAATTGTGTTGTGGCTCATCACGTGTCACTTCCCGCGCTTTCCACCCGTTGCACCTTTTTTTAGCTCGAGTTCTGATTGGTTTGTTGCATTTACAAGCCCTCTGATGAAGTAACCCACCCGCACACGCACGCAGACGCTCGCGCGCACATACGCAGATCCTCGCGAACTCGCTCGCAAGCTCTCACTTGCTCGCGAAGTACTGTGTTAACGGTGTATATTTATCAATTTTATTATTATTATTGTTATTTTGTTGTGGCAGTGATATACCACACGAAGATGACAAACTGGATCTCCTTCTGCAAACTAAGTGAGTATCATGGTTTTGAATAGTTGTGTGCACTGCAGATCTAGTGTGATGATGCGCGTAAAAGTAGTCGTATAAAGACTGTTGTTATATGCTTTATGTCTTTTCATTCTTAATTGTCTAGCTTCACTTGATGACCTACCGCACTGTTTTCTTCTTAATACTTTGAAAATCTCATCTCATTTTTAAGAACACTTCTGTCATGGTATTTTAAGCATGCACAAAATTACCTTTAAATTGAAGGAAACCTGAAAATTTCAGTTTACTAAGATAGCAAAACACCGAAGAGATAATTATAAACCATAAAGGAACAAGAATAGTTAAGGATGGAGAAGATTAACACGGATTACAAACGACGACCTTGAAAAACGTAAGGTAAACGTCAACGTTGACGTAACTTCTTTAATAAATGTAAGCGATCACCATCTGATCGAATTAGAATTCGCCTTTTTAGAAGTTCACGGTAAATAGAAGAACAGCTCTCAGGAGTTATCTTTGTTTCAACTGCTACCAAACCAGTTAAGCGGGTTCTGATCCTGTTTCGCAGAGTTGGTATAATTGGAGAGCCAATGTCTGGCTTTAATCCGCTCACCCTGGCTCCGTTTGGCGAGGAACACGAGGAGGAGACTGGAGACGAGGATGAATCAAGAAGAAGGTAAAAACGAAAATCGTGTTCTTTAGATAGTATAAAGTTGCATTTATATGCTGCGATCGAATTTTACCCAGTAATGCTCTTTATTTCATGTTCTAAGCATGTGGCGATCACGTGCCCACATGGACGCCTTTGAAGTTGTTGCCGCAATGAATCTTTATCGGGAAAACGTTGATTATTAGAAACAACCAAGAATACAGCAATGAAATGGTGCTTTTAGAAGTAACGTTACCTTTAGAATAGAAGTCGCGGGACAATTCACAAACTACATAGGACATGGGTAACTATTAGCAAATACAAACAGATCCCTTGGGGAGCTGTTATGACCTTTATTGGACCTGGTTGTCTTGACGCAAGTAACTACTCAGGGCATGTTGTGTCTTGCAAATGTTTGTTGAAGCACTTGTACAAACTTGTACACTTGTAAGCCCCGTAGCCAAGTTAGAAGTTTGCTGTATCGAAATAATCGGCCTCTGAACTGTGTTTTATTAATTTCCTTGCAGTTCCCTACCTGGCGAGGCGCCGGTCACACCCACTCAAGGTGAGTAAGCTGCAGTTTCTGTCTGTAGCGAATCAGTGCGAAGTCATGTTGTTTTGGTTTTCAGACTTTGAACTTTGCACACGTATGATCACGTTTTCAATCACGTGATGTCTGAGAGTGGCCAATCAGTGCACTCCCTGCTGTGTTTGAAACGATTTCGAAACTGTTGACGGTAAATGATATGCTAATTGTCATGCGTTGAAAAAGAATGGGGAATTGTTGTTCCTACTCTATTTCAACACAAACCGAAAGCAGTGCTATAGTGCTTCAGTCCCTGATTTTCTTCATCTTGCTTCTTTGTCTCAGGAGTGACCAGTGTTGTTGAAGAGGGAGACACCGCTGAGCAAGAAGAGTGACATTAATGGCTACGTCCAGTCTCCTTGCCTAGACATACAGACATCTCAACGCAATTTGATAGGAGAAATTGTTGTAAATAAGGTGTAAATACACTTCGGCTTCGGAAGGAAAATGAATTTCACGATGCAATGGAAATGTAACAATGTAAAGCATTTTTCTCACTCTAAAAGTAACTTGTAAGTAGTATAAAAAATGTCATCGTTGGTGTAAAATGTAATGTAAATACTCGAAATAAAGAAATACGTTCAGTGGCGATTACATTTACTAGGTCTACTAGTATTCATGTAAACAGTAGTGTCCTCTTTTCCTCATTTGGCTGCCTCCCTGATGGACTGTCTGTCTCTCTGAAGATCTGTCTGTCTGTCTGAAGGGCTGTCTCTCTGAAGGACTTTCTGCCAATCTGAAAGACTGTCTGTCTCTCTGAATTTAGTCCTGAAGGATTTCGTGTTTCTCTCGCATTCTCCACACTGTCTCGATGATGGTTTTAATCTGTGCGTGTTGTTGCCTGTGAATTGTTCTAAAACCTTTGCATTTAACAAAGTTTGTTATCCGTTGAATTTTATTGGCCATTTTGTTCGTCCTTGCTCGATTTTGTAGGAAGCTGCTGTAATGGACCATTTCCGAGTTACCTTTTACATCTGTGTCAAAACGAGTCTTCGTCCCAAACCATTCATATGAAAATGAGTTCCGCATACAGGTTCATTTTCATGCAAATCAAAGTCATTTTTGCTCGTAGACTCGTTTTGAAACAGAGGCAAAAGGTAACTCAGAAATGGGCAGTTGTCAGTAGCGAAGCGCGCGAGTGACGTGGTGGTGGAAGATTTGAAGCTTTTTTCAAGCGCGTAAGCAAGTGCTCCTAAAACAATTTTTAAAGCGAAAATTTGGCGTTCATTTACCTCCCATTTCTCTCAGAGCATGCTTATGTTGTCTGACTCTCGCGGAGTTCCAGTACTTTGCATTCTATTTTTAGACTTCGTGTGCTTCGTTATTACTTTTATTTCACATTTCAAGTCGCAAATTACCAATTTCACTTTTTTGGTTTGCAATATGTCAGTGTGTCGCCTTACTAAATAACAATGCAGAGATTGTTTGCTTGTACATAATTAAAAAAAAGAAATGAAAAAAAGAATAGTAATTTGGCTTTGTGAAAATTCCGCCGTTATCATCAAGGCACAACCTCACGCGAATCTGTCATTAAAGGTAGAAAGCAAAGTGATAATTTATTTGCCATTCAAATCATACAAGTGACAGATCATTATTACAATAGCAAAATGAAAAAGCAGTGTCACAAATGCGTGAAAAGCTGCCAAATTGAATCTCCAGTTTTGACAAAAACTGAAGGAAAATGGGCGGATCAGGGCATTTGCGGCCAATTGTGAAATGAGTCGCTTTTTACGTGTTACCCAATATTTTCTGTACGCCATTAAAGGAAGGTGAAAATTCAATGTTTTCGTTTTTGAAAACGGTAAAGGTGTGGTTTAGCGTTTACAAATGAGCCCTTCAGTTTTATTAATTTCACTTGTAACTTAAACGACGGTTCTTGAAAGTTGAGGGGCTTTCATAAGTCCGAGGTAGCCATGCCAAAATGTAAATATCTTTGCTTTTTTTCTTTTCTTTTCCTTTTTAATTTTCAGCGATCGAAGCAACAAGGCAAGTTTTAATATACAGATTGTTTAATTAAGACTGTCACGTCAACCGATAGGTTTTAAAATTACTTAGAGCAAAGTTCCTTATGGTCCTTTATCAGCAACAGCGTGTAGTAGTGATTTGTCTTAGTTGTATTACATGGATGTAAATAAAACAAGAGCACGATATTGATGCAAGGACACCGATTTTCCTTATTGTTCAAACTCAATCACAGAGAGATTTTGCTTACACTGACCAGAAATGAAATGATCGGCGTGTAAACAACATATTAATTAAAGCAAGCGGTGGAGTAAAAACAATTTACGTCAACGGCAGCTGTCGTGTTCGCAAACAAGAACTTTTGCTCCGGCGTTTCTTGTGGGTTCTACACCGCAGCTAAGAAACGCAAGGTCAAAAATCGGCTTAAGTTGACCATGGCAAGTTCTCCGTGCAAACTGCCCATCGGATCTGCTGGCGAGATCTTGGCAATGGTTGTTTACACCTCGCTCGCTATTGGCGGTTCGCTGGGCAATATCTTGATAATTCTCGTGATCTACCGCACCCCACGTTTGAAAACTGTCTGCGGGGTCTTAATAGCAAACATGGCCGTAGGTGACCTGATGATAACGTCAATAGTCATGCCTATTCTGGTTTTTACGCTAGTTCAAGGGTTTTTAAAACAGTGTTTTTACGACACGGCGATCTACATTGCCTTCGTGATTGCGCTTTTTTCAGGCGCTGCTTCGCTTTTGACGCTTACTGTCCTCAGTGTGGACCGTTGCTTCGCCATCTGCAGACCGATGAAGCACAAGGTGATTGTCACGCTAAAAAAAGTCAAAATTATTATCGCGAAAACGTGGGTGGAGTCCCTGTTTCTCCCAGTTGTAGAGCTTTTCTACCGTGATTCGGCTCCGGCAAAGTATATTCAAACTCTTGGAGTCATCGGCTGTTATGCTATAATCCTTGTAAGCGGAGTTCTTACGATCAGAAATGTGCGCGCCAGTTCTTCGCGTATAGCCACCATGCACAGCCACCAAGGAAGATCTCGCATGACCGCAGAACTAAGCCAAAGGAACAAACAGGTCGCAAAAACGATGGCAGTGGTCGTCACCCTCTTCACTCTGTGTTGGATACCCATCGCGTTTGTCATTAGCGTAAAAGTCCCGGACCCCCAAGGCAGAATATTCTTCTGGTTTGCAATGCTTGGCCTGGCCAACTCCTCTTTGAATCCGTGGATTTATTTCTATCGGCGGTTAAACTACAGAGAGGCGTTAAAAATTTTGATTGGATACAAGAAATCTTTATCTAATAATAAGGTTATTGCCCGTCCTAGTAATGAAACGCTGGAAACTAAGTGAGAATAGCAACGCCCAACTTCAAAACTCCTTTGTCATGGAGAAAAACAGTTTTAGTTGACAACGTTCTTAATTGGACTTCTTCTTCTTCTTCTTCTTCTTCTTCTTCTTCTTCTTCTTCTTCTTCTTCTCCTTGAAGCCATTTTAAACCAAGCACTACATCAAATAATTCCTATACATGACCAAGACTTTAACTAGCCATAGAAGACCTTTTCAAAAAAACGATACAAAAAAAGTTGTTTTACTATAATATTGGATTCGTATTCAAAATTATTTTAACTGTTTTTATCGATCATGTTTGATTAACGGGTGATCGTGATAGCAAGTCACGATTTGTAGTGGGTGATCAGATTATTTGTTTTTAGCAGTGCTTAGCAATACACGCGGCTTTCAGTTTTTAGAACTGTAGATTGATACAAACTATTATCGCCCCCAATAAGTTGACAGAAGAGAGTTTAAGGAACTAAGAGGGCGACTCCGAGGAAAACGTCGATTTAAAATATTACTTTATATTTTACCTACGAACCTCGCGATACTCGAAAGTCATTGAGTTTGTTTCTCTTTGTCAAAACTATCTAGAAACTGAAACACGGCGTAAAGTTCCAATTATAAATTTGAAAAATTATCCGTCGTGGTTTAAGTTCTCCAGACAATTTTGTCAATCCGTGATGTTGTTTGCAGATGACGGCAAAGAAATGTACCAAGAATAGACCGTTTTCGACATATTAAAATTCAGCTTGGCAGTGAGGCTTAGAGGACACAAACAAAGGAAACTGAATGACCAGGTTTATTCATTTCTTTTGTTTGTGTCCTTTAAGCCTCACTATCAAGCTGAATTTTAATCATTATCGAAAGTGGCCGATTACAATGCACGTGCACAGTGATTGTATTGTTCGTTAAATCTTTTGTTAAGCGACGTTCCCGTTGCCGATTACCATTGCGGTTTTCTTCAGTTCCCTATTAACCGTATTTTTAGTTGGAAATGAAATTAAGCGCAAAATCAAAATTCAGATTTCATCACTATCGGATACATGCAAACTTGGTATTGGAGACAATAAAGATGTCAATTCAAAAGCAGCTGACATGCACAGCTAAGGTTCGCTGAGTAACGAAAATAAGCGAAGACTGGTTCAAATTGGACTCGATAGCTGAGCAAACGTGAACTAACCCGTGTAAATAATGAATGTTGTCGAATAATGGTTGTTTTAATGGTTGTTTTAATGATTGTTAACAGAAATGTGTTCCATATTTCACGTGTAACTTAATGCCCTTTTAGAATTAATTTAGTTTAGGTGGTCAACCCTATAAAGAGGGCTCAGCCATGGTATTTTGAGTTGTTTGGCCACATACAAAATTACCTTTAAATTGAAGGAAACTTTAAAAGAGTATTTTACTAAAATAGAAAACACCAAGGGTAATATAGTAGTAAACCATAAAGGAACAAGGATGGTTAAGAATGGAGAAGATTAACACGGATTACAAACGACGAGCTTGAAAAATTTAGGCTTAACTTTTCAAGATGTGCAAACCGTGAAGCTATAAAAATGAAGCTTAAAAGATTAATAGCACTTCCAAAAAGATTTCCTTTGAGGTCTATAACATCCAATACTGACGTCATATGACGTAGAAACGACGCAATCATTTCCTAATATCCGCCATCTTGGATTTTGTTATATTTTGATTCTGTTTTGATAAAAATCACCAAAAATTCTCGAAAATAGTCAAAACCATTAAAGAAAGCTAAAGATAACTCGAAAAGGGAAAATTTCTACTGGAAAGTTGAAACATTTTCATTAAAAACAGCAAAATTCAAATTCTGCAAAACATGACTGTCAAAATATGGTTGTTATGAAAACATCAAGATCTCCCACCAATGAAGTGTAGCATAAGAAATTGTTTCCAGATAAACTTTAAGGGACATGCCGCGCATAATTTAGAGTTCATTGTTTTGATGATTTTTAAGTTACAAGCCTTTAAAGTTTGAAATGCGAGGGTGTTAAAAGCGACTGTAGGTAATAAAAGCAAACTGACGTGTACCCGGTTCACACTGTGATTAAACGGATCTTACAAGCAAAAACAACATTCAATCTATCATTTAATTCATGCATAAAGCGGTTGTCAATTGAGTGTCGTAAAACCAAAACAAAAGTAATCACTCTAGCCAATCACAAAGGACACAGACAATCCACTGAACCAATCAAAGCTCGAAGTAATAACATGTAGCTGACGCAAAGCGCGGGAAAACGAGTGCGAGCGAGTCACATTTGGGTTTGGATTTACTTCTGATTGGATGACAAAGTGGCGCGAGTTTTTTAAGCCAATATCGTAGCGTAGTTGACGCAAAACCAATTACTTTTAGACACTCAAATGAAAACCGCTTTATTCAATGGACCTTAATCTTGTAATTAAACGCCGGAAAATAATAAACAGCATGTGAGGCAGATGCAGAATGTAGCTCAGTTAAGTTGAATTTAAAAAGACGTTTACTGAATGTTAAGCGCTTTAGCGAAAGAAACAGTAAGTTCTACCACTTTACCTAGAAGGGAACCCCAGAGGAGTTTCTACCTTCTGATTGCAAATGGCCACTATGGCATTGTTAGCTGCTGTTGAATGCGCGCGTTTTCCTGTTTGGAAACAGCAGGAAACTATTAAAGAAAAAAACTGCATTGACTTGTATGGCAGTTGGTGCTTTTAGTAATGCATAATGAGATTACAAAATGGATATTTTTCAAATTTTTCTTCCCACGTAAACGTTTTCCACCTTCGTAGAGCACACCTTTCTAAACATTTATCGAGTCTTCATGGAACAGAATTCAACGGCGATGCTAAATTCTACCATTAAGTTTAATGCCAGTGCCTTCGATAGACGTCCAATTTTATCGCACTGCCTGGATTTTGATCTTCAGTCGATGGAGATCTTCATCTCTGTCGTTCTATACAGCATCATTGCGGTGGGTGGTTCGTTAGGCAATACGTTGGTTCTTCTAGTGATCTGGCGAACACCAAACTTGAAAACTGCTTGTGGCGTGTTAATCGCGAACTTGGCGCTTGCTGATCTGCTAGTCACAGCCGTGGCAATTCCAATTGTGATATCACTGATAATACAGGGTTCTGTGCCGGTTTGTTCCTTGAATGAATCTATGTTGGCCGCGATAATAGTTGGTCGTTGTTCTTGTGCTGCTTCGCTTCTCATATTGGCAGCCATGAGTATAGATCGTTGTTGGGCGATCTGCTATCCTTTTCATCACAAAATTCAAATGACTTCATCGAAATTGAAAACAGTTTTGCTGTTCATCTGGCTCGCTTCTTTAATACTTCCCATTCTGGAGGTAGTTTTTCGACGAGAAAGCCTATCGGACAGTGTTTTGGTAGTTAAGCAATTACAAAGATTGGGAATTCTCATCTGCTACTTTGCCATCGTGACAAGCGGTCTGGTCACATTTACAACGGTACGGTGTTCCTCCTCGAAAATAGCTAACCTACACAACGAAGGAAATCACAACCGTACATTGGCAGAACTGCGCGAAAGAAATAAACAAGTGGCGAAGACGATAACTTTAGTTGTGGTTGCCTTTTCCATTTGCTGGGTTCCTATCATTTACATCGGCGCAAGATTTATCGACCATTACAGCGTGTTACACTTCTGGGGTGTGTTGCCTGGCTTCGCCAACTCTGCAGTTAATCCGTGCATTTATTTTTACCGACAAAAGAGTTATCGGCAGGCGTTCAAGGCATTGGTTAGCTAGAAGTTCGTGATTTGCAAGCTCGCCTGTTTCAAGACTGATGGACCGTTTAGTTTTAGAACAAAGGGTTGTGTCTTAATTTATCGGATAGTTAAAGGCGCTACGTCACGGTTTACCCATCTTGGAAAGTTTAGCCTAAAAGTTTCAAGCTCGTCGTTTGTAATCCGTGTTGATCTTCATCCTTAACCATCCTTGTTTCTTTATGGTTTATCATTATCTCTTTAGTGTTTTTCTATCATAGTATAAAACTATTATTTTCAGGTTTCCTTTATATGAAGGCAGTTAAATTTTCACAATTTCGTACACGTTTCTGTTTTAAGAAGACTCCAACAAATTATGTATCAGTAGAAAGCTTAATAAATGTAGTTTACGATAAAAAAAAAACTCTACTTTGAGCACGAGCACAGTGTCAGGCTTTTTCGATATTTTAAATGATTGTCTAGATATCCGCATTTAAAGTTGGAATGGCTGAAAATATCAAGTACGAAATGATCACAATAAGTTGTCACGTTTACTATTAACTGACTCGTACCCACTGACCCTATGTGTGATTTTAAGGTGAGGGAAGATTGGAATGTACGAGAGTGGCCGAGCCGCACGAGTCAAGGGATTGGAACTGAAGATATAAGTGACTTCCCGCGTCCCGCGAACTCGTCCCGCGTGCCCCGGTCACTCGTATCCAATCTTTCCTCACCCAAAAAATACATAAGGTGTCACTGGGCACGAGTCAACACTAGTACATTTACTTAAACAAACACTAAGGCACACTTTCATTTTGGGGTTTGACAACATCCCGGCTTGCTCAACGAAAATTCTCATTGAGGGGAACCAAAGGGGAACAGGCCTCGACCAAACTAATGCGCTAACTTGGGTATCCGTTTTCGTCTCAACAAAAATGAAGTAAAACATTTCCGACCACACTAGTGTTTTCGTTTTGTTTTCACCTGTCCACACTCATCCGTTTTCGTATGGAAACGCCGGCATACTTTTTCATACGTTTTCGCCTGTCGTCCACACTAAAACGAACGAAAACGCTTATGAAAACCACAGCAGATGACACTTTTTCGACATCGTTTTCAAAAGCCTCCGTTTTTACCTGTCCACACTAGAAACAATGCCTTTTCAAAATGATGCGTTTTGAAAAACGCTCCACTTTTGAAACCGTTTGCAAAAGCCTCCGTTTTCATTAGTTTTTCCGGTCGTCTTAGAGTGGACGATAGGCGAATATGCATCAAAAAGTATGCGTTTTCATTCGAAAACGGATTAGTGTGGTACGGGGCCAAGTTCAACGGGTATCTTTGAACAGGTGCCAGCGCGTCTTGATAGCTGCAGCCTGAGTTTCAATATCACTTTTTTAATTTACTCATATCGGTGTCATCTTAGAACACAAAGGTAATTTTATGTCCGTCCAACCTCTACAATGTACACGCAAACACATACTGAGTTTGTTTGGTAGCGCGGTCTTGCAAGCTATGTTATAATCCTTGATTGATAATATGTTACTATTCCCGAAATGGTGCAGTATTTCGGGCAAAATATGGCCACCACTGCAGGAGCTGTGATACCAAGAAGCACATTGCTACATGAACGTAACTTGTAATGACTAATTTGACAATAGAGCGGTCTTTGCTAACGTCATTTGTTTACATTTTCTCTTAACAGCATTCAGCTTTGCGCAGAAGAAGTATGTTGCTAGGTATAAACTGACTAAAGTGATTTTGAAACTTAGTAATTGGTAAAATTATGGGCTCAGGGTGTAGTATTCAAGGAGAAATTGGCTTTAAAAGCTGCAAAATGTCTGGGTGGCAAAGGCGCTAATGAGCTGATGCATTTTTTGTAAAATTCTGAGTTTTTCCAAGTCGCACGAACGGTATTTAGTACTAAAGAGCTTAAAGCAAAGCACGACGACAACGGCAACGAGCACGACATCAAACAAAAGATTTAATAAGCAGAACAATGGCTGTGCACGTGCTTTAAATAATAAATAATAAATAATAATTTAAAAATCCTTGCATATTTTTTAGCCGTCCTCTGCATAACAACAACGTGAAATGACCACTGAAGTTCTGAATATTTAGCAGAACGTGAGCCACGACGGCTAATTTTTCGTATTTTCTTTCGGAGTTGATCACTGGCGTTACATATTTAGTTTGAGCAAGTTTTTAGACCGATTGGCGGGCTGAACAGATCCACATAATTGCGAAATTCAAAAGTACCGTAGAATTCCGATAGTCCCCCCCCCCCCCGAAAATAACGGCTCCCCGAAAGTAACGTTAATTTTCCACTTTTCTTATTGAATCCCTAGAGTAACGGCTCCCCCGAAAGTAACGGCCCTGTGAAGATTACCACTCGAATACAATAAAAAAGCCGTATTTTAGTTAATACAGCGTTTCACACAGTACTATAGATCGATGTACAATGCGATTTCAAAGACTAACGTAAAAAGTAACAGGAACGAAAAAATTTTTCTTCTTTTTTATTAAGGTACCGTAAGGTGTTTGCTTTTGCCACTAGTCGTAATTACGGCGCAGTTTATATCAACATTGCATTGGAAAACAAGAACGCGTGAAAATCTTTGGACTGTGGCATGGTAGCCACGCCGTGTACAACTGAAACAAATGTGAAATTGTCTAAACGTTAACACGATGAGAGGTTTCAACTTAACGTCATTGGAATGTGATAAATGATTTTTTATTATTTACAATGAAACCATAAAAATCTTCGCGCGTTTCATCGTGCAGTCTTAAATTGTTGTTACTTTCATTTATCATCATGAAACCATATCTGGTCCACGTCGCTCCAGTGGCCAATTGTATAGTTCTCCAAGCCATTAAGACTGATTTCGCTATCGCGTTTCACGAAAGAACGAACAACTGTATCTAGGACCGGAGAGGGCAAGAAACGTCTGGCCAAGCTTGCCCTGTCCATTTAGTAAAAGAACCCTTCCTTCGCTCGCAGTTACTTTTCCTGTTAGAAACTGAACGGGATGGAGGTTGCCTATTTACCGAGTTAGGATTTCGAGTTGGATTTCGAGTTGGATTTCGAGTTGGATTTTCGAGTTGGATTTTCGAGTTAGATTTTCTGGGGGATTTTTTTGGCGGGATTTCCAATAAAATCTTCAGTGGTTTGATGATTTAAATGGTTGACAGGCCAAACACGACTCCTATTGGTCAAGATAGAGCTAGCCAATGGCGTAATGTACTTTTCAATCCTTATTTGTTTGAAGCTCGACCTCGTTATTTTTTGTTTTTTTTTAACGGCATTTTTTCTAGATTTCTAGGCACTCGATGGCTACTCAGTGACATCAATGTAAAATGGGGTTGACAAGCCTACACGACTTTTACTGTTAGTGACATTTGTACATTTGCCGTTCTCTGTTCGGTCAATCCGGCGACCTTTTTGTTGCTTCACTCTTCTTTATGAAGGGCACTTCATGTTGTGTTATAAGGAGGAATTTTAGGTAGAGTTGAGCCATGAGACCGTGCTATAGCAAAATGTTTTAGAGATCATAGGTCTGCATGATTTCTGCTCCTATGTGCATGTCGCTTCGTCGAGTTTGACACCCCTGTAATTTGCCATGTGTCTATGCCTTTTTTAGCCTCATTTATATTGCAAGATATGTTTTTAAGAGCCACTGCCTGTAAATATGGAGAATCCGACGACAGGTCGGAAAATTCGGATTTTCTTTTATTGCGTCAAAAAGATTCTTTTCGTGAAGTAGTTTCAGAAATATACTTTCAAAGTTCCAGCGACTTCACATTTTTGTGAAATCTAAGAAAGTTCGAAATACCGCTCAGTCAACCATGCAAGATGGCCGATGGAATTTATGCAAAATTGCACATTTTCAACAGGCCAGTACAGAAAGAAGGGAACTTGCCTGGATTTCATATTTACACAGTTTGTCATTTACACTTTGGTCATTCCTCTGAGCTAAAAGTCATCTTGAAGTAAATATGTTTTGTCTACTGCTTGGCCGTTTGAAAAATACAACTATGGCAATTTAATTTACATGTAAATTTTCAACTGATTTTAGAGGGTCATAACTCTTCTAGTATACGAATCTCTCAACAAATAAAAGGTTCTAAAGGAAGAGCTATGCTATAGGTATTACTAGTAAAAAAAAAAAAAAAGTGACTCTACATCCTTACTCGAAAATCCAACTCGAAATCCTAACTCGAAAATCCAGCTCGAAATCCCAACTCGAAAATCCAACTCGAAATCCAACTCGAAATCCTAACTCGGAAGTTAGTTTGTCTCGTCGGGATGCATGACTCACTGTGAACAGGGATTTGTGATCTGATTTCGAACTTTGCTAAACATTTCTTGAACTTTACTATAATTTCTACGGTTTTTGTCTGGCAGCAGAGTTAAGTGGAATTAGTTACATTGTCTTACAATACCAATGTTTGGAACCTTTTCTGTTGTATACAGTCTGCTTTATTTATGTGGGTAGTTAGTAGTGTTACTGTGAATTACCGCACCGTACAAACGTTTTTTAACCATCCGAAAATAACGGCTACCCGAAAGTGACGGCCCCTTTTGCCTGCTAAATCCGAAAGTAACGGAGGCCGTTACTATCGGAATCCTACGGTAAAATATCAATCCCTTTTTTATTTAAGGCTCATCCTTGGCGTCGCCGTTGTCATTGCTTAAGTTCCCTATTCAATTCCTTAATTAATCCGCAAATGTAACTTCCGTACATTTTTGACTTGAAGAATTCAGGTATGGTTTAAGTCTTGGTAATTTTCCTTGCTGGTTTGGCGTTTCTTAACATTTTTATCATGGAGTTGAATTCTAAGTTTTTCTCGCTGGACAAACTGGAATTTTCATTAAGCAAATAGAAGTTACAGGGATAAAGCAAGGCGTGCGCATTCTATATGGCAGCCAGTACTGTGAATCTATAAGGTTTCCGAGTTTATAGCTAAGGATATAATGTTCACTGGTTAGAAAATTTTAGAGTACACAGCTCAATTTTGTCTTTCTTGTTTCTGTAAATGAAAAAAAAAAACTTAAATTCCCTAATAGACGTATGCTGTTATATTCCCGAAACAGATCAGTATTTCAAACAAACCACTGTCATCCAGCTTGTCACCACTGCGCCAGAGGCGGCAGTTGTTTCCATCGCTAATATTTCATCTTCAACAGCTGCAAAATTGCTACCGTTCTTAGAGCACACAAAGCCAAAAGTAAACTTTTTTTTTCTAATTTCTACAACGAAAAATAATTAAATTACTTAGCACGCAATGGGCCTTCGGTTTTGGACGCCATCTTGCCGGGTAGGCAAAACGGTCAGAAATTACAGTGTTTGTATGGGAATTCGATGGAAAATAACTTTTTTTAAACATTGAATTTTGCAGAACTTATGAATCGCAACTTTACTAGGTAGCAGATTGTATTCACCAAATATGAAAGACGTAGCTGGGCTAGAAGACACTAAACTCAGTTAAGTTTTAATTTCCTATACATTTGCCTATGATTTGCACAAAAAGTGGGTGTTTCTAAACGCCATTATTTTGACAGTTTCCGATTTAATCATTCCGACAGCTGCGAAATTAGAACCGTTCTTGTAAAAGCACACAATATCACAAGTCAATTTAGTCTTCCAAAATTCTACAAATAAAAAAATTAAATTCCTTGGCAGACCTGGCAATATGTGTCGTCAATCCCAGAATGGGTATTTCAAACAACTTACTGTCACCATCGCACGGAAAGAGTTTGCTTCCTTAATCCACTTTTTTGTTAAAAATTGTGATCCTCAAGCGCATTTTTTGTGCACAGCATTAGCCTTAAACTTGATTTTAGGAATTTAAGAAAGGTTGTTAAAAATATAGCTGGGCATGTAATGTTGTTTGCAAGCTTTACAGTTGCCACCAAAATGGGCTGGTTGAAACTTATCTTTAATATCGCTTGCCCAAATTTAAATTTGTTAATGTCAAGTATAACAAAAAACGAAATTAAAAACGTTCTTGTGGCACACAAAGTTACAGCTCAATTTTACGTCTTCTGAGTTCTGCAAATAAACATTTAGAATTAAATTCTTCAGTACAAAATATGTTGTGTAGATTCCAGGAATGACAATTTCATAGAACTCGTTGTTGCCATTGCGTAATTGTCACTAGTTGATTTCAAAAACCAATTTCTTCTTAGGTTCCGACTTATTCCTAAGAACCAACGTCTTGTTGTTTAAAACGTGGCTATCTCTCGGGTAACCAACACTGATACTATTGTTTCAAGTACGCGATATGTCATGTCTAAACACTGGACGAAAATTAAGGGCCATTTTCACACTTATTTGTTTCTCTCCCTGTTTGCTTGAAACATCACTTTCGTTTGACAGTACTCTCTGCCTATATCTGTAGATGTTTTAAATAGTCACTTTTCGACCTCTGGGAGCTCATGTTTAATCAAGAAAATTTCTGAATTGAAAGGATCATTCCTTGGTAACAAAATAAAAATTCCTGGGCGTAACTTTCGCGCGCAACATTAGCTTTAAACTGGACTTGACTTGCTATATTCCGGACGCACTTTCTGGCTGGGCTCAAGTTTCTTAAAATTTATACCACAAGTACAAATGAAAAACCTGTCATTAAGTAAACAATCAAGGGTGATCCCCGAGAAACATAACTGGACATACGCTGTTTTCAAGCTCTGCAGGTGTGATCTAACGTCCTGGCGGTTGTTATTTGATCATCAATAATATTTGTTTTCAATTTGTCAGTTGTCGATGTGATCCTCAGTAGTGTCGCGATCAGGACATTTTAAAAGTAGTCAAACTCTCAGGAGACATTTATTCCTCTTTGTGGAGCTTACCAGTCAAGATTAGTGACTTTAAAGAAAGACATTCAAGGAAAAGACTCCAGCGCAGTAAGTTTTGTCAGTTGATTTTATGTTGCTTAAAAGCTAAGCGCTATCATGTTGTTTGTTCGAGATTCCATGACAGTACGCAACCCCAGGCGACTGGAAAAAATAGTCTCCTTCCGATTCTCATTCCACTCCTTTAGGTTTTGCAGACTACAAAAATTAAAACTAACTTGAAAAATATTTTAGCGAAGGTCCAAACCGAAATCAGATCATATACTGTTAAACAACATATCTACAAAATAATCTGAAAAATAAGTGAAAAACGTCTTAATGTTAGGATTCCTTTCCACTCCAGTTGCTACCAGTGATAAAACTTCGGTAATTCTTAACTTGACGCTTCGATTCTGGGGATGGAAAGAAGCTGAAGTGGGAAGAGTTTATCGACTTTAAAGTTTCCAAATTTAGTCCTTGAAATTCCTTATAGCATATTCCATCACCTTTTCACGCGGCTGTGAAGAAAAACATTACCGTATGAGCAAGTTACTGTACTGTTTCGCTTACTCTTCACTTGGAATACAATCACTTTGTGAATTCGATTTGGTGTCGAAGGTGCGAGAGAGGATAACACAAGAACTCCGTGCATTCTGAAAACTTGAACACCGCTTGTTATACTTTGAGAAGAAAGAAAAGGAATATTCGCAACAGCATAAATTCCCTGCAAAGAACGCCTCCCACTAATGTGGACCGGATTCGATTCCGGCCCATATGCGGTGACGGTGCCATATGCGGGTTGAGTTTGTTGTTGGTTCTCGCCTTGCTTCGAGGGTTTTTCTCCGGGTTCTTCGGTTTTCCTCCCTCCACAAAAACCAACACTCTAAATTCCAATTCGACCAGGATAGAGAACCCGCGTGAAAACCAGCTAAGGCGGATGTGGCTTCCTCTCTAAATATTGTAATTTATTTATTTAGGTACAAAATTTCCTTTAAATTGAAGTTTACTAATAAAGCTACTAAGACTGAGGAACAAGGACGGTTAAGGATGGAGAAGATTGACACGGATTGCAAACAACGATCTTGACATATTTAGGTCAAATTTTTCAAGATGTGCAAACCGTGACGTAGCATCTTTAACACCTCAAATTTGACTCACCTTTATGTAACCTTCCGATTTTTTTCCTTATTTTTCAAGTAATATGAAGTGTTTCCTTTTCTTCGTGATAACTTGGTCCTTGGCGGTGTCCTTCCCTCTTGAGAATGAAGCAGAAGTTCGGGTAAGTAGGTTGCCTCTATGCCTCCATACTCTGCTAAGTTTCTTAAGAGCGAACAATTTTGTTTTTCATCGAAATCTTTTCTTACGTGCCGTTTATTTAATTTTTTTTAACAGGACGAAAATAAAGGCACAGTGAATAACCCTGGTTAGTCAATCAGCCGATTTATTTTTATTTTAGCAGTTGCTTTGCTTTGTTGTGCAAACATGATTCAATACATATTTCGTTATTACACGACCAAGTAATTTCAGGGAGCCAGTGTCCAAAATCGACCAACCATCAGATTGCGTCCTAGATTTTTCTCACTTATTTTAATGTTTGATTCAAAAACAGAGACGTTGGTGAATGCTGCTGTCGCAAATCGACGTCAGATGACCTTTGGCAACACCGCTGGCAGTGTTGGTCAACAAGGAACCAACTCAGGAAATGTTGGTGTCGGAGTTCAAGCGAACGGCAAACGTCAGATGACCTTTGGCGCCACCGGCGGCAATGTTGGCCAACAGGGAACCAACTCAGGGAATGTTGGTGTCGGAGTTCAAGCGAACGGCAAACGTCAGATGAGCTTTGGCGCCACCGGCGGCAATGTTGG